GGAGGCTGTCGTGCCGCTGCTGTGTGGGCCAGTTTGGCCCCTGGCACTTCATGAGCTGGCAGCGTCACCGGACAAAGAGCCCCGAGCCTTGGGGTGTCCCACAAGTGGACGCGTGGGTTTACTTCCTCTCGGGTCCCACGGGATCGCTTCCCTCTTGGCGAATTCCGAAGCCCGCCCCGTCACCGTACCAGTGGCTCCGGCTGTTTGGGACTCACAGAGCTAATCCTTCCCTTCTGATCTAATCCGGATTGGGACCTGGTCCCTGGGGAGGCCCCCACCTTCTCCTATTGTTCTGGGGCCCAGGTGAGCGCCTCATTCTCACTAGACTGGATTACAACACCTACTTGTCTGCCCAACTGGAAAGGGATGGGCGGGTTCCGGTTTGGCCCCAGGGCGAGTGACCTGGGGGCAGGAGCCGTCCTCCAACGGCTGGACAGCGGGCAACGGAATCCCAAAAGCAGCTGTTGTCTCCAGAGCATTCCAGCTGCGCTTGGATTTCGTTCCCTGCTCTCCTGCCTGAGCAGCGCCCTGGCCCAGATGAGGCGGTCTCTACCCTCAGAAACACTGCTGGGCCATTCTGATCTCCGTCCCTCAGGTGCACCCTCAGGCTGATGGTGGCAGGCAGAGATGACGAAAAGTGCTCAGGCTGATGGCCAGTTCTGGAATCCCCGGAGAACACTAACGGGAGGTCCTGGGTCCTCTCTGTAGGGCCGCAATGGCGGTGAGTCCCACAGGGCCGCCCAGCCCGCAGCTCGCTATAGATAGCTCTTCACTTCCTGGGGAAAAACCACCCCAACCGTCTTCATGGAGGGAGAGAGCTTAAATCACCAACTGCCGGTGGGTCCCAGCCCGGCCAGCAGCTGTACCCACAGCATGGAAAGTGCTTTGGAATGACACGATCACTCCCGTTGAGTGGGCACCCAAGAAGCCATCGGGAATGTCGTGTCCGCCCAGTGCTCTTTCGGCACCTCCCAAACAGGGCCTCAGAGCCCTGGCCCAGAGAGAGGAGCCTTGCTAAACTTTTCTTTTCCCTAGAGTTCCCTCTTCTCCGGAGCAAAGTTCACTAGTTGGATTCATTCATTACTTGGGGAAGTGGGAGACTTAAGTTACATTGAAATGAAAGCGTCTGGACAGAGGAAAGCTTTCCCACAGTATGCTGATTCCTTGGGTCTTCTCATGATCACGTTTAATTGTCTCAAACTGACCAGTTATCTAAAGAACAATCAAAGGTGCCGGTAACAACAGGTTAAAGGAAAAACATTAAAGGCTGGTAATTCTGGAAATTATGATGACTTAATTCCTCAAGTATCAAGAGGTGCAATTCTATCAGGTTGTTCTTTTATTGGGAATAAAGACACACCATACCGCTAATGAGGAAAGGCGTGCAAATGATCGGAAAGAATTCAAGTTTTTTTTTCTTTGCTTTTCAAGTAGGCAGTAAAGTGTCTTTAATGGAAGATGGGTAGTGGTAGTGCACAGCATTAATCCCAGCACTCGGGAGACGGAGGCAGGTGGATCCCAGTGAGTTTGATCTACAAAGCTAGTTCCAGGACAGCCAAGGCTGTTATACAGGGAAACCCTGTCTCGAAAAACCAAATAAATAGTGTCTTTAATGATACAGCCTTACTCCACTGACAATTTGTCTGACATTTAAATCTTGTTTAAATGGGGCAAAAAATGAAACATCACATAAGCACAAAGATATGAAACTTTGACCAAATGTCTCGCCTGGTGACAAAGACCCACCACCAAATTAATAATTAAGGATGACGATGGAAAAAAAAAAACCCTAGGCGCAAAAATGACCCCGAGATTTTGGGTGTAGGGCTCACGAATGCAGGAACGGCCGTCGGAAGAACACTGGAAGCGGTGGGTTGAATGTAGCCTTACTCGGCACGCTCCAACACTAGTCCACTCAGGAGGGTCCACTGCCGGATCCCCGCCCCAGCCAAGCGAGCCTCCCGGAAGCTCTACGGCTAATTTACTTCCTGTTCCTCTCACTCTTCCGGTCGCCATGGCGACAGGGCGCCTTGGCGTGGGGGAGACACTGGAGGCCCTTAACGCCGCAATGGGCCCTGGTAGCCCGGTGTGGTTCAAAGAAACGCACGCCCGGCACTTGCGTGTCCGCGACTTCTTGGCGCCACGAAGCGCGCTACAGGCGCGCTTCGGGGACGGGCAGGTGGGTGCGAGCTGGTCTGGGATCTACAGCCCGTTCCAGGCCAACTAGGGTTCACTCACACGCCCATCTGCCCGCAGGTGCCAGAGTGCGTGTTCCGTGCGGTCGCCGGCCTGCAGGGTCCAGGGGTGGCCCCTGTATTGCGCTGCGAGTCAACACCCGCGGGTTTATCGCTCCAGCTACAGCGGCCCGCGGTCTTCGAGCGTGTACTCGGTGCCCTGGCTTCCTATGCTACTCCCGCCAAGCCTGCCTCGCCGGGCCCGCGGATTATTTTGCATTGTCCCGCATTGCGCGGCAACCCGGGCACACTCCGCCTGAGCCAGCTGCGTGCTGTGCTCGTGGCCGATCACCTAGCCCGGACGCTACGTGCTCATGGGTAAGCGCGCGTGTTCCAGTCTGCAGTGGCACAAGACTGACCCTTTGGGGACAGACGCGGAAGGTGGGAAGTCATGGTGATCTGGACCTGGTTCGCAGGCTGAGACAGCCACCCTTGCTTTGTAGGGTATGTGTGTGTCCAGTGCCCTCCGTGCGGGACTCGCACATGGCAACTTTCCTGCAGAAACTTCTGGTGGACTGGCCCACTACCTCGAAGTGCGCCTCAACCGAAACCTTGAGGACCTGTGTGTTTGCAGAACTTAATTCTAAAGAGACAGTGCCCCCTGGAGTCCTAGGCCAACTGTGTCTGAAGGAACTTGTAGAAAAGAGACGTTCAGCTGGCTATGACCCCAGCATAGACAACTGTTTGGGTAGGACAGTGGCCAAAACATGGGTGGGGGGACCTCTGCACTGCCAAGCACTTTAGTGCCTCTCTTGTTTTCTGTAGTGACTGAGGATCTGCTCTCTGTGCTGTCTGAGCTGCAGGAAGCTGTGCGCCATTGGCCAGAGGGCGGCCACCCAGGCCTGGTTAGTGGCTCCAGTCTTGACCTCTGCCCAAACTAGTTTTCTGCATCTTTATAATAACTCTCCTGTCTCTCTACTCAGGATGGGGATCCAGACGCTGGTGTGGATGGCTGCATGGTTGTGCACGTGGTGAGCTGTGAGGAGGCGGTGCAGCAACAAAAGTTGGATCTGCTTTGGCAAAAATTGGATGACCAGGCTCCTCTCAAACAGGTTGGTTTTCAAAAGTAAACCACCTTGAAGGTTTTTGAAGGCCCTTGAAAACCCAAAGGGCCTGTAGAGCACAGGTTCAGGCTGACGTGAGGGCCAACGAAGTTGGACTGGGTCTTGAGGAGGTACTGAGACTGGTGGTTACAGACTGGGAGAAGTAACCAATGTAGGCTGGCTCCCTGGAGGCTGCAAGGGAAGGCCACCTGGACTGAGCCCTTTTGCATTCTCTCACAGAAGCACCTGGTCTGTGGCCCAGTGAAAGTAGCTGGTGTACCTGGTACCCTGATGACTGCCCCTGAGTACTACCAGTGAGTGACAGACCAGCCAAAGCCAGGGGCAGCTGAGATGTGGGGAAGGGCTTCCAGTGGGACTTTGCTCACTGGCTTTCTTTCCTAGGCTCAGATACGCTCAGGTGTGTAAGGCCTCAGCACTGAAGCATGGTGGGAACCTGGCACAAGGTATACCTGGGAGACCCTGCTTGTGCCCTGAAGTACCGGCAGGTCATTTAAACCTCTAGTCCTTGTTCCTTGTCTGTAGGCACTGACCAGCCTGTAAATCTCACCCCCAGATCCAGCCTGGACCAAGACCTTGGATGTCCTCTCTGTGGCCACCATCAAATTTGAGATGCTAAGCACAGCTCCACAGAACCAAGTAAGCCTGGGTATGTCACAGTACTAAGCCCGAGGAGGACGGTGTAGTGCCCATGCCCTCTACAGCTGGATCCATCCCCTAGCTCCTGCTGGCCAACAGCACCACCTCCACGAAGGGCACAAAAAGCGGCACTTTTGTCATGTACAACTGCGCCCGCCTCGCCACGCTCTTCGAGGGTTACAAACATGGGGTGGAGCGAGGTCTGTATCCCACCTTTCCACTTGTGAACAGCCTGGATTTCTCACTCCTCCATGACGAGGTGAGTGCTCCTCCTGAGAAATGGCCACAAGCAGAGGGCTTGGTCTTAGCACCCTTGTCTCCCACAGGGTGAGTGGCTGCTGCTTTTCAACAGTGTCCTTCCCTTCCTGGACCTGCTGAGGCAGACTGGGCGCCTGGCCAGCACCCCAGGGCTGCACACCCCTGTACGCATAGAGACGGTGAGGCACAGACACTACACACTAGTCTTTATTCTGGGTTGTGACACAAGAACAAGACAACAGCTCAGTGATTCAACCTCTATCTCTAGGTGTGCAAGTTCCTGGTGCAGCTCAGCATGGACTTCAGCTCATACTACAACCGAGTACACATTCTAGGGGTGAGCATACAGCACAAGGGCGTCTGTGGGCAACGCAGGGGACACAGGGTAAGGATGAGGGAACAAGAGGATGAGCCTGGTTTTTTTTCTTTCAGGAACCTCGGCCACACCTCTTTGGTCAGATGTTTGCCCGCCTACAGCTTCTGAGGGCAGTACAAGAGGTGTTCCACACAGGCTTGGCTATGTTGGGCCTCCCTCCGCTGAGCCACATCTAAGGGCCCAATAGCTGGGAATGTTTACAAAGTCACCAAATGGGAAAAAGACAAAACCTCACAAATGTTGGACACCTAAAGCCAAAATAAATACAGTTTCATCCCACTGTGGACAGTGAGGCATATTCTTGGTCCGCCTACGCGGCACAATACTGGAGTACTGGAGTCAAGAACCTATGGACTGCCTCACTTCCTCAAAGCTCACTGAGCATGAGCAGACAGCGGATCCCTGCTCCACTGTCTACAGGCAGGCCCATGCTCAGTGCTCCAACCACTGAGATAACTCAGTCGTACCAGTTGTAAACCTCAAGTCCCTGACCTGCAAGAGCACAGCGGTGGCCAAACTCAGGGCTCACAGGCCAGCAGTCCATGTCAGCCACATCTGGCACATGGTACACAGTGCTATTCATGAAAGCGGGCTCACCACGCCCCAGACGCCAGAAGGTCAGCCGCTGGTCTATGGAGGCTGAGACCATGAGGCTGGGACTTAGGATCTTTATGCCTGTCACATGGGCAGCATGTGCAGAGGGGACAGAATATTCCTCTAGGACACACAGCTGTGGCACCAGCTCAGCCTTCCCATCAGCCTCTTCCAGCTCTGGCATCTTCACAGCAAGGTTGAAGACATGGAGGGACCCATCCTCACTGCCACTGGCCACAAGATGGTGGCCCTCAGGTGTAGGCAGGGTGTCTAGGCTGTTGACACCACAGCTATGGGCCTGGACGGTCAAGCAGGGAGTGCCCAGCTCTGGAGGAAGAGAGTGGCTATTAGGGTCCTGCTTTCATCTTGTGTGAGAGGTAGTAAAGGATGTCACACTACTTACGGTAGGGAAGCCCAGGATGTGCTGGGGACCCCAGGGTAGTGGAGCCGCGGTCCATGGCAGTGGTGAGATCCCAGAAGGCCAGGCTGCCATCTGTAGCTGCACTGCACAGGAGCAGCCTCCTGGAAGCCAGGAGAGGGCAGCTAGATCAGTGAAAGGGATGGGAAGACAACGGGAGCCCCTACCCAATCTAGACAGGACAGCCTTTCTCACCGCCGCTGGTTAGGTGCCTCATGTTTGAAGGAATGCACTTTGAGAACACACCGCTTGTGGTGGAAAGTCTCAGCAAGGAGATGCAGAATCCGCCCGGAGTCCTCCAAGAGAAAAAGCCTGGGGGCGGGGAGGCAGCTCAGAACTCATCCTGGAGAGCTCATACCCTGTCTCCCCCCTATGACCACTTTTCCCAAGTGCTTACCTCACTGCTCCATCACTACAGGCTGCAGCCACAAGGGGGCCACGACCAGGCTTATCGGACTCAAAGTCACAAATAGCAAGAGACATATACCTGCAGGGAGAACACAGCTGTCAGGTGGAGCCTCCAAGCTAGGAGACCCCTGCCTATAGCTTCCCTACAATGATCGCGATCAACACCATGACAGGGAGTGCACATTACCTGGTCTCAGGGTCCACTTTGACCATCCGATGCCGGTTGCGCTGCCGGTCCCAGTACTCAGCTAGCCGGTGGGACGAAAGGTGCATGACGTGGCAGGCAAGGCGGCTTGGGGAGCTGGGGTCAGGAGTGACCATGAGGCTGAAGCAGTGCATCTCAGCTCGACCCCCTGCAGACACTACATTAGCAGTGAGACCTGGTCGAGAATCACCTGGGCCACGTGGATGGCCAATGCCCCACACTGCCAGAGCACGCACCGAAGAGATGTGGTTACACACAGATGTGAGTGCATGTGCTGAGCCTGTAGTTGTGGGAAGCGCTAGGACACAGACAGTAGTGTCCTCGCTGGATGTGATCACGATGTCAATAAAGCCAGGCCCCTCATTGCCAGGCTCCATGTCATCAAGCTGCTCCAAGCTGGGTATGTCAAATTCAGGGCCCAGGGTTATAGTGCCCACACGCTTTACGCATGTGATTTCACGGCCGTGCAGACCCTCTCGGAGAATAATATTTGGCCGAGTACAGCCACCTAGAGCCCGATAGAGCATGACATCGCCATCCTTAAGGTAGGCAAAGGCCATAGCTGACTCAGTATCAGAAAAGGCCCAGGAGCGGTGCCCTCCACCGCAGCTGACGATATGCAGCTTCTCATGGGACCGGGGGTTCCACACTACAAATTCATTGGCATGGAAACCCAAGATGACCATGTTTCCATCAGATACCATGCGAAGCCCAGCTACCCAATTCATGCCTCGACAGCATTTCTGCCTTAGGACTGGCTGGAGCTTACCGCCATGAACAAAGAGCTGGTAGTAGCCGCCATCGCGGCCTGTGCTGAATACATAGCCACCATGGCAAGTAATTGAGGTCACACCCTGTTTCCCATGCAGAGAACGGAGCATGGATACTGGGACTAACCCTGTTGCAACATTCTCAGACCCACTGCTGCCACCCCCAGTTCCAGGTGCCTCAGCTGCAGTAATAGCCTTGCTTCCAACCCGAGAATTTTTGAACAGACATGGTCTGGCAGGGAATATCATCACAGAGCCACGGCGGTCCCCACACACCAGGAAGTCACCTGGGGGCAGGAAGGCACTACATGTGTGCCATCTCTGCCTGCTTGGGGGAAGCAGGTACCGGCAACGTTCCTTGACAAAGATGGCCTTGCCAGTGGGTGCAGCTGAGATCTCCAAGCAAGCTACTACCCCACCAGGGCCTGATGCCAACAGCAGAAGCTCCTCATAGCCACGGAGGGCCCAGCTCAGGCTGTGAACCTTCCCACGGAACAGGTTCTTGTCGACAGCAGCAGTGGGAGTATTGATGGGGACAACCTTGACAAGACCCTCCCCATTGGCCAAGGCACAGAGTCCAAAGCCCTCAGGCCCAGGCGCTGCTTCCAGCAGGCAGTAAGACTGAAATCGGTTGTCCTCCAGCAGCTGCTCCCAGGATTTGACCTCAAGGTCGTAGAGGTACAGGGCCCCTACATCGGTCACTGCCAGTACTCGCCAAGAACCAGCCAGAGTCACAGCCTTGAGGGCACCTGGCCGGCTAGGGGACTTGAAGGACAGAGCTGAGACACCCAAGCCTGGGTATCCACGACCTACCAGGTGCCAGAGTCGTATGCCTGAGTCATCACCTCCAGTGATCACCCAGGCTTGCTTCTCATGAGTAGCAATGGCCCGGATCCCACGGCCCTGGTGGCCCCGAAAGGCTTGCAGGATCTCACCTTCGTGGCTCCACACCAAGCAGGCACAGTCCTCGCCTGCACTAATAAGATAATTCTCTAAGAGCTTCACTTGCCACACACGGGCACTATGTCCAAAGCAGTGACCAATATTCTGCACCTGACCCCCAGGCACCCGGAGGTCGCCCACCTTCCAGATACGGACACTTCGATCTTCAGAAGCAGTTGCCAGCAGGCCCTTGCTCTCCAGATAGGACATGCTAAAGACGATACCCATGTGTCCACTGACCCGCTGGTCAGGTGCCACAGGTTTGTCATCTGTTAATGCAGTTGCTGGATACCAGACCAGGAGCTCGTTGGAAACGGCACCTGCCACTATGGTCAGTTCCTTCCAAGTGTCTCCAATCAGGCAGGCTGAGGAGAGGGTGCACCTATCTGTGCAGGGGACATCCTGCAGCACGCACCCTATCACTGGGTCATACAGCACCACTGAGTTGTGGCCCAGGGCCAGGGCTATATTACCCTCGAGCCAGCGTGCATCCCAGATCCAGTCGGACATGTTCCACAGATTAGAGCGCCAGAGCTCTCGAAGATGGCTTTGACCCCAGCTAACTTTCACAATTCTGAGTCCCTTACTGCCAAACGCAGCTATCATGGCCTCAGAGTCAAGGTCTCCTTTGGGCTCTGGTCGCACTCGGAGCCCATGGATAAGATAGTGGCCAAGCAGGCTCTGCACTCGCTTCAACATCCGGAGATGCCCACCAAGGTCCAGGTTGTATATCAGTAAGTCAGGTCCCTCACCTAGACGGAGGGAAAGACCACATCAGAGCTGCTCACCTAATGCTATGTGACGAGATGAGAGCAGAACACTGATTAGCATGTAACTTAACATATCGGACACAAAATCCTAGTAAACCTAGGAAGTCCTGGCCTCAGCTTTAGCTAGGCTTCTATTGTAAATGCATGTGCCTCTGAGTCATTTGTTTCTGTGGTGATGTTCTCGCAGCTCAGGTTGGCTTTAAATTCAAAATCCTCTTGCCTCAGCCTCCCAACCTGGGATTATAGCACTGTGCCACTGTGTCTGGCTATCAATTATCCTTAATGTATAGTCACTAGGAACTCCCCCTGGTGTCCATCATTCAACCCCCTTCTGCTCTAGGCCCCAATTTCTCAGCTTCATCCGTCTCTACATGAATCCTCCCTGAGGGAAAAGGCTGTGTCACCTTTCCACCCTTTAGGACTATAACCAGCATCCCTCGTTAGTCAGAAACCCTGTGCGGATTCAGAAGCAATGGCGGGGCATGAGTGGGGAGCAGAGGCAGCCCAAGCTTTGTAGACAGGCAGCTAGGCTTGAGTTCTGGCCCCACCACTGGACAGTGGGAACCCTTCTAGGAGACTGAGTCTTAGAAGGCCTAACCAGACAGCAACAACAAAGAGCCCTTGGAAGGTAGCAAGTCCCTGCACAGGAGGCTGGAGAGATGGCTCACTGGTAAGGGCTCTTGACTGCTCTTCCAGGGGACCCGGTTCAATTCCCAGCACCTACATGGCAGCTCACAACTGTCTGTAACCCCAAGATCTGACATGGTTAAACCTAGACAGCATCTTCTGTGTTACCCACATTCCTAACTTATGCTCGGAGGTTTGTCCAGTGCCCCCTTCTGGCTTGTGCAGTATCTCCCATTCTAGCTATACAAGCTTACAACTCCCGGGCAATCTCTTACACCCCCATACCCGTATGTATAGAACCCACAGACGCATCCAGAATCAGACTCTCAGCTTCCTTTTGGCCACCCTGCAGCTGTTTCCCAACATCTCATCCTCCCCAAGTCATTTCAGTTGCTCATTGCCAGGCACTGACCATGCCCAGCCGGAACTCGGGGGCTCAACATTACCTATTGTTCTCTATCTCCTCTTTCTTCAGAGTCTGCACATTTCACTTCCAGAAGAGGTTGCTGGCCCCACCTCCAGAGAGTTTAGCTCACTGGAGCAACCCAACATTTGCACCACCAGCCCCCCCCCCCCCTTATCAATTCTAGATTATACCCTCACCGCATGGGCATACACACAACCCTGTTGGGGCTAATGATGGCTGACCCAAGACACACTAGTCAGTGCTAGGGACCTATATAAAACCTACCACCACTGGTGTCGTCACCAGAGCCTAGAGGCTTGGCATTAGACCTTTACAACCAACCCCTGGGCATGTGATTACTGACCCAGTCGGCCCAGAGCCCCAACCATCCCAGGAGGGCCCTCAGTCCCGGTCTCTCCCAGCACTGCGCCACTCAGATTAGTATCGGACGCTAATTTTGGCGACCATACCCTGTTCAGGACCCTCATCTTTGGGGGCGGAGCTCACCCTACCCAGAGGCCAAACTGCTGCCACGCCCCCTGGGGCTGCTCATTCTTTACCTCCCCACTCGTTTAGATCATGTGAGCTCATTTAAGGGTGCACACGCCCTTCCCCCCAACATGGAATGCCTGCATTTCCCCCCCCACACGCCTTCCCGCGTCTCTGCCCACCCTTTCCACTGCAATTGATGAAGAGCTGCAATGGCTACGACAGACTTTTGTCTCTCGAGCCCCGCCCTCCGCGGGCAGGTCCTCCGACCCAGCCTTATCTCACGGCCAGTCGCCAGCCCACTGCCCATCCTCCTCTCCGGGGCATCCCTTTGTCCTGGGGCGACCACCCCAGGGGACCGGCTAGTTCTTCGCCCGCTAGCGCGACGAGAGCCGATCAAGCCTCACCCGCCAGCAGCCGGTCCCCAACGCACTCCAGACCCGTGACCGGGAGGAGTATGAGCTCCGAGGTGGCCCGCGGCCAGATGAAGTCCCGGAGAGCCTCCAGAACCTCCATGTCGCTCCTCAAGCTGCCGCAGCGGCCACAACCAGAAGACAGCTGCGTTCTCGCGAGAAGCGGCCGCCTGCTGAAGAGCCGTGGTGCAGAGCTCCCGAGCCCTTAGCTACAGGTAGCCGAGCCCCTGCGCTCGGCCGCGGCGGTCCAATGACGACGCTCTACCCACGCGAGCCCGCTCGTGATTGGCCCAGCCAGGGAGCCGCCCCGCCCCCCCATAAGGCGGGCGGGGAGTGCGGTGGGCCTCCCCTCCCCCACGCGGGCGCTTAGCCGGCCTGCCCCAGGCTCGAAGCCCTGTGGATTTATTTGATGGAGCAGCGAGGAGGCTGTACACCAATAAATAACGTGAAATGGAGGAACTGCGCCTTTCATCGCGGCTGCAGACAGGGAGGGTAGGGCAAGATCGGCCAGAACGTGAGTCTGCGGCAGGACAGAAGACCTGCTGGGTCTCTGACGTTGGTCAGCGGGGGACTCGCATCTGGGCCTCGCATCAGAGCTCCACGCGGGCTTCACTGTAGGCCCTGTCCAAGGCCCACTCGGGCTGGGAGTCGGCGCCATCTTCCCGCGCCAGGCGAGCCATCTCCTGCTGGAACAAAGCTTGCCGTGCCCGGCTGGGGTCCACATTGATCCAATTGTTGGCGATCCATTTGGTGCCGCGGGTGACCAGGCAGCCCCCATGCAATGAGTAGTCGTCCACTTCACCCACCCAACCTAGAGGAAGAAGGTGGCGTGAACAATGGAACAAGTTGGAGGGAACCCTAGGTTGGACCAGCCTGAGCTGTGTAAACACATAATCCCGTGAAAGGATTTGGCACCTCACCCACTAAAGCATCAACGCACTGGCCCTCTGAGCCCAGCTTCTCTGTTGCAGAGCCTGTCCACAGCTCTCCCCAGCCTGGGTTGTTGAGAGAATTTCCCTAGCCCCAGAGAACTTAGAAAGGCTGGTGCACGAGGAAGATGGGCGGAGATAACCAAAGGGGCAGCACGAGGCCTTCTGCGGCCTAATGAAGCCACTGGTTATGGCAGAAGGCTATTTGAAGGACAGAAACAGCTCTACAGGGCAGCAGACGGGAGAGATCAGGTCCCTCAGGGAAGCCTTTGACCTGGCCATAAGCCCTCACCTTGCCCATCAGGCAGGTAGTTGTACCAAAAGACTGCAGTTCCTTGCTGGGGTTTGACACGAAGGTTCCCTTTGTCACAGTGCCTTCGAGTGTCGCGGAGATCCACATCATCCCGAATGAGACTCTGTGGGAAACAGGATGATGGTGTTTTTGGACTGCCTGCCACTGGCGAGAGGGAAAAGTCACACCCCTCATCCCGGGTCTGGAAGGGTGTGTATACACTTGCCCGAGGCCCTGCCAACCCACGGAAGTCACAGCCCATTGGCCCTTACCATTTCGTCATAGGTCCTGTTGTCTGCCACAGGGAAGACAGTCTCGCCCCCACCAGTGACGTTGTTCAGATAAAACAGCACTGTCATGTAGCTGTAAGGCAGGGGGGGCTGCTGAGCGGATCCCCAACAGAGGATATTCCCACTTGTGGGCAGGGGGCCACAAGGCCAGGCAGACCCCACAGACCCACTCTTCCTGTGTGGCTAAGGTCACAGGTGTGCTTGGGTAAGCTCTATGACCCTGACCTTGACCTGGCTGGAAAAGGTGAGCTTGTGGGAGCCGGAAAACAGGCGAAGTCTCCTGCAAAGGGAAGGGCTGAGCCACTGCAGTCACATGACACCCTAACTTGGTGCAGGCAGTGGAGCCAAAATCAGTGTTTCTGGGGCAAGTTTCAGTAGCTGTGGGTACCTAGGTCTGTTCTCATTTGAGTAGACACAAGGGCCAGTAACTTCTACTTCCCTGCTACCTCCACAAATTGAAAGAGAGACTTGCGGGGAAAGTAGGGGCGTGCCTGATGAGGATGGCCGAGGCTATTCCTGTATCCTTAAGGTACCCAGTCTGGGAATGGATGCCAACCCCCAGGTGGGAGGTACTTGCCGACAGGAGGTCTCGAAGGGCACAGACTCATTGACTACCAGCTTGGTATGGGAACAGATGGTCTCTGGGTACACAGGTCCGCTGTCCACATGGGCATGGTAGTGGCCTCCCTCGCCATATCGAACAACCTGCAGTGGCTCACTGAGCTCCACAATCTCCGGGGAAAGGCGAGTGAGGCGCAGCACCCTGGTAGGCATCGGGCATTCAGTGAGACAGTCAGCTTAAGGAGCTGACCAGTGTGGATCCTGGGCCAGCCACAAGCTTTATCCCTCTTCACCGCCCCTGGAAGCCCCATAAGCCAGTCTAGACTTGACTTTTACACACAGGAAGACGGAGCTAGGAATGCTGTATAATTGTAGTGTGCTGGCCTAATATGTGCAGGGCCCTGGGTTCAATCCCAGCACCGAGTAAACTGGGTGTGGTAGAGGAGGTGGAAGCAGGAAGGTCAGAAGTTCAAGGTTATCCTTGGCTAGATAGCAAGTCTGGGGTACGTGAGACACCACCTGTGCGCCTGCAAGCACACACACATGCACACACACAGAGAAGAAAGGGTCTGTGGTGGTGAGCTCTTCTACATCCCAAACTGCAGACAGAGATATCCAATTAATAGAGAAAATAAGATGGCCGTTAAGTCAGAGTCTCACCTCTCCTCTCTGGAGTAAACTTGTTCATTCAAAACCTCTGTTTTTATTTTATTTTTCTTCTGCTATTTATTTTTTAGATGGGGTCTGATGTAGCCCAGTGTTTACCTGGAACTTCACAGCCTAGAACAATCTGGAACTCCTAATGCTTCTTCCTTCCCCTCCCAAAATTCCAGGATTGTAGATGTGCATAGCAATGCCTAGCTTCTGCACTGCTGTGGTCAAACTTCACTTTGTGTGTGCTAGCGAGGACTGACAGCCAGCTTAGCCTCATCCTTCTGGGCTTTGGGGATAGTTTCAGTCTCCAGTCCAGGCTTGACTGCACACTGCAGCATCACATGTGTGAGGCACCAGCCCCCCCACCCCTGCCAAGACAGGGTTTCTCTGTGTAACAGCCCTGGCTGTCCTGGAACTCTCTGTAGACCAGGCTGGCCTCAGATTTACAGAGATCCGCCTGCCTCTGCTTCCTGGGGTGCTGGGATTAAAGGTGTGCACGTCAGTTGTTGGCCCACAAGGGCTAATGTGCCTTCATTAGTTGACAATTTTTCAGTGGGTCGAATTCCTATTCTAAGAACTGGAATTTAATTCCACATCACTTCATCAGTTCCATTCTTTTGGTTCTGATGAATGTTTGGAGACCCTGCCCCAGAAAGAACGGTCTCAGGGGCTCACCTCTGACGGATGGCACGCATGACATGGTGCGCACCCTCACCCTGGTGGAGCCATGTGTGGTGGCTGTTCCTCACCAGCTCATCAGATTCTGCCTTGTGGCTCCTCATGTACTTGTGGAAGTCGCGAAGGTCCATGTTGGTAAACTCCTGCAGACTCAGCACTCCTGCGCAGGGTACGCTCATCAGTGCCTGCCAGGCCCGTGTGGCGCAAGCACGGCGGCAGGCAGCACCTCCCTACCTACCCCAAAGGTAGCAGCAGCCCCTGGCCTCAGGCACTGGGGGGCCATGCGCACTTGTCCCCACCTGGACTCGGGTCAGATGAACCTGGTTTCTGTCACATCGGGCCCTGAGGGAAGACCCAGAGAAGTTTGTTTTCTGTTTAAAGCCTTGATTTGGTCCCCAAAAGGAAGAAGCCCAACCCTTATTAGAGAGCCCGCTTTGCAGGGTCTCCAGAAGTAAGACACTGGAGCTATGTTGAGCTAGGATGGCCAGGATGGCCTGGGCTCTGCAGCCTGACCCTTGGACTGTGAGTGATGCTCCAGCCTATAGAGGGCGAGGAGAGAGACCAGCCTGTGCTGAGTATCCTCCAGCACCTTCCACACTGTGGTGCGAAAGCAGAACTAGTTCCCAGAAGTTCCCTCAAGTCCCATCCTGGGTGGAACCCTGTTGCCAGTCCTTCTTGCTCCAATACCAGCCACCCTAGCAAAGCAATCCTGACCCACCCCCCAGATGAGAACAGACTCCTCTGTTCCTGCCCAACCCACTAAGCTGGGGTACCTCATCCAGGGCTCTGGAAGGGTTGGTGGCTTTGCTGTTATTCTGACAACCCAAGGCAGACCCCTTCCATTCTTTGTCCCGGACTCCACTAAAGGTGAGCGTGGTGAGCCCGATACCACATTAGAGGGAGTCTAACAGCCCTCCAGCCATAGGTTCCGTCTAAATCCTTCCCTCGGGGTTGTTCACTAGCCTCTGCCTGCTACAGCCAAAAGAATCTCCAGCTCCAGAATGTAGACTGCAGGCCACCAAGGAGAACGGGGCCCGGGGGGGGGGGGGGAGGACAGGTTCCTGCTGTCCATCTGCTTCCCAGGGGTTAAAGCAAAGCTGGACCCTCCCTCCCTCTCTTCCTCCCTATTTCTCCCTCCCTCCCTCCCTCCCTCTCTCTCTCTCTCTCTCTCCCCCCCCCCCCCCCCCCCTCTCCCCCCCCCCCCCCCCCCCCCTCTCTCTCTCTCTCTCTCTCTCTCTCTCTCTCTCTCTCTCTCTCTCTCTCCCACACACACACACACACACACACTTTAAAAGCAAGATGTGGAAACTGCCTGTTGCAGGGGAAGGGCCCAAGCTTTCCGGGCCATGTTCCTGGGATGAGAGCACAGCTCACAAGCACAGAACTGTGGAAGGTGTGAGCTCACCATCACCATCAGGGTCTGCCTTGATCGCAGCGTACATCTCCTGAATGTTCTCTGGAGTCATCCACCGGCCGTTTCCTAGGCGAGTCTGGGCTAGGACCTAAAGCATAGGAAGGTCCTTCAGTGTGGGGTTTCCCCTAGAAGTAACGGACCACCAAAACAGAGAAGGCACAAATCTTGCTGTAACGCTAAAGACTTCAATGATAGGGGCTGGGTGAGGACACGGGATAACTCGAGGTCTCTGTGCAGAAGTGAGGGTGAGCGGAAGGAGTCTGTGACGTCTGTGAGGGACGCGAGAAAGGAGGTCCACATGCCTGCGGGCTGTGTTCACTCCCAGACCTGCTGGCATTGTGGCCAGGCAGCACTGTTAACTGCTTGGAGGCAGATGAGAACAGGCCTGCGTCACCCACAGATACTCCAGGTGAGGGTTAGGGGAGGCAAAGGCCTGATTATGAAGGACAGGAAGCAGGAGGACATTCGGCTGGAACCTAACTACCACAACCCTCACTCAGGCAAAGCGGTTCCCTGTGAGAAGTGGACCACACCCCGTCAGAAGTCCTTGTGCGCAGTGTGTGGGGAACTGAGATGCAGGCCAACGGGCACCTCAGAACTTATACTTCGTCATCACCTTTAGACGTGGTAGCAAGGAACCGAGCCCACAGGAGATGCTCTGTTTTTTTTTTTGTTTTGTTTTTGTTTTTGTTTTTCGAGACAGGGCTTCTCTGTGGCTTTGGAGCCTGTCCTGGAACTAGCTCTGTAGACCAAGGAGATGCTCTGTTAAAGAGCTCGTGGTACATGCCTCCCTACAAAGGGATTTTCTCGCTGTCCTGAGTCTCTAGGGCAGTAAGAGACTCAGAGGAGAAAGGATAGCCCCTGGGCCTGGGCGTGCCCGAGCAAACCTGGGGTAGCCTTTGACTGCAGAGGCCAGGGTTAACCTACACCAGTGGTATGGCCGCTGGAAAGGTAAAGCAGGGTTCTCACTCCTGTGTGTACTCAGACCCAGGATCCTAACCTCTCGGAGCTGCAGGCGACCATCATGGTTCTGATCCAGCAGCTGGAAAAGGTCCACCTGGCTGAGCTGCATGGCGCTCACTGCCTCCTCATACTCTTCGGTGGGCAGGATCTGGCTTCGTTGTAAGCCCTTCATCTGTGCCAGGTGGATGATGAGCCGACACTCCTCATCACTCAGGAAGCCCGGGATTTCTGCCAGAAGGGGAGGTGGGTAATCTGATGACTGAGTTGGACAAGTACTTTCCCCCCACAAGATTCTTGGGTATTTTCTGTACCTTGATGGCCATCAGAGCTGGGGGACCTTACATATCTATTTACACACACACACACCCAGACTTTTGTTGTTTTTGAGAACAGGTTCTTACTGTGTAGTCTTGGCTGGCTTGGAATTTGCTCTGTAGACTAGGCTGGCCTCAGACTCACAGACATCTGCCTGCTTCTGCCTCCAGAGTGCGGGGATTAAAGGTTTGTGCACCTATATGCTAAGGTTGAGTTGTCCTACAAGGTTTTTCTTTCTTTCTTTTTTTTTTTTTTAACCAGAGTTTGGGACGAGGGGTCTCTGGTCCTGTCTCATTGATAGCAGCACACATTTTCAAGGGGGGTGGGGAGATTCATGGCAGTGAGCGAAAGCCACCAGATGAATTTAATGGCAGAGGGTGGGCCTCTTTTTAAAAAAACAAAAGCAAACCAACCAAACAAAAAACAAAACATAAATTTACTGTAGGCTAGGGATATCTCAAATGGTAGCACTTCTACCGACCTTCAAGTCCTTTGGTTTTCTGGTGGCCAACATGACCACAACAACTGAGGTGGTGGCGTGTGTGGGTCGGGGCCCTGCCAGCCCCAGTTTCCAGGCAGCGACCAGGGCCAGGTGCCACAGGCATCTCTCTGTCTTGGTTTTGTCTATTCTTGGTGTGCTGGCTGATTTCAATCCCGTCCCTATTTTTTGGCGTGGCATCATAGCAGGTCCCATATTTTACCAAACGTCTCATTGTTCTCAGTGTGGTTGCTGCCGCGGTCCTGTTGTCTGGACTTGAGCCCAGAGAGCTTTTGTGTTGTTATGGCTATTGTTTCAGATCGTGTCTCAGGGTACAGGGTGACCTCGAACTTGCTCTGTGCTAAGGAAGCCCTTGAACTCCTGATCCCGCTGCCTTGACCTCTTCAGAGCTAGGATTACAGGTGTGTATCACCATACTTAACTTGGTTTCTTCCCAGGTGTATGTATGGAGGGGGGGTTGGCTTTTTGAGACATGATCACACTGTATAGCCCTAGCTGGTTTGGAACTTGCTATATAGACCAAGATGGGCTCAAACTCATAGATATCTGCCTGCCGTCTCTAGAGTGCTGGGACTAAAGGCGTGTGCCACCACACCCAGCTGGATTTATATCGTAAATGTCAGAGAGACAGTGGCTCGTTCTTGTTTTCCTTTCAGTATTGTCCCATCCAATCCTTGAGGGCAGTGGTTCTCAATCCTGCTAACGCTGCAACCCTTTCATACAGTTCCCCATGTCGTGGTGACCCCCAGCCAGAAAGTCATTTTTGTTTCTGCTTTATAACTGTAATTTTGCTACTGTTATGAATAATAATACAAATATCTGCTATTTCTGGTGGTTGTTAAGGGGTCATGACCCACAGGTTGAGAACCACTTTAGGTAGCTCCAAGGGCCTTCCCCTTGTTCTCCTGCAGAAGTGGTTGTGTCTGTATGCCAAAGGCTGAGTTAGTTACCCAGTACTGGGAAGTCAGCGGGAATCACCTAGCATGCTCCAGTCCTCCATGTCTCAAGTACAGACTATTAGCCCGGGACTCTGCTCTGGGCTACCTGTCCACATACAAACCAAGCTGGAAGATGGTCAGAAGGAGCTAGACCCTGAGCCTCCAGCGTGGACAACCCACATGGCACAGCCCAGGTGCTCCCATGGCAGAAGCCCGAGTCCTTTTAGCTTAAGAAAAGAATTCCTTGAGAGACAAGAAGCCAGCAGAGAAAAGGCCGCCATTTCTCCCAGTCATCTGCGAGCCTGGCAGAGCAGCACAGCCAAGAAGGAAGCTGGCCCTGCAGCAGGATGGGAGCCATGTTTACTAGCGACCACAGCTGAGCACACTCTGCCAACGGTGCTCAGGTGCACTCAGCATTCCAAGCAGCTCTTGAATCTCTCGGCTCATGTTAGAAGCTAGGCCGTTACCTCTCCACACTTGAAGAACAGTGCTCTGCCCAGGGCCACACAGATGTTATACTCAGAACCGGATGGGCAATCAGTCAGCTTTCAAGGGCAGGTGTTGGGACCTCAGCTGTAACACTGCAGACAGAACAGGACAACCCCCCCCCCCCCAACCTGCAGGACTCTAGAAAGGGAGGCAGCAGACCTTAGGAGGCAGTCAGTACTGCTAAACAATGGAATAGGCCCAATTGCTCATCAATTATCACCTATTGGTTACAGAGAAGTAATAGAAAAGGAAAAAAGGGCCTGAAGTAGAAAACACAGACCCAGATTTCTTTATTAGGCACCAGGAATCTGCAAGCCAAGCCTAGTGGAGCCAATTCTAGCCCCTACCCCTTGTTGATGAAGTCCTAGATTTGATCCCAGCACCATATAAAACTGGGTGCAGTGGCACACACACACCTGCAATCCCAGCACTTGGGAGGTGGAGGAGGATCCGAAGTTCAAGATTCAAGGCCAGCCTGAGCTGCCTGAGAACCTGGCTCAGGCAAAACAGAACAAGCAAACAGCTAAGTCGGTACAGTGGGTTAAAATTAGGCAGGTGCAGGCATCTAGGTGCTTTGCAAATACCCTCAAGACTTTCTGGGTGGCACACTGTCTCTGCCTCACGAGTGCTGGGATTAAAGGCGTTCACCACCACTGCCCGGCTGAAGGTTGTTTTTGTTAGTGTTCCTAGCAGAGGGAAGTAAGCACCCTGGGACAGACGGCATAGGTCAGAGGCCAGTGATGCTAAACCTGTGGGGTTTGGGTTCTTGGTCCATAACCACAAACTACCAGGTCTCCTTTCCACTGGAAATGCAGAAGCTCCCTCTGCCCAAGGGATGCTGGCAAGAGATGAAGCCAAAGGTCACAAAGCTGATCGTTCTACCCCAGCCTAACTTTGCCTCTGAACAGCATTTCCTCAGCTCCCTCTGGGCAGAGAAAGCCCCACCCAGGGCTGGAGCACTGAGCTGTCAGGAGCGGTGAGAATGGATTCTTTCAGGACTCAGAGGCAAGCAGGCTGTATGCTGCGCCCGCTCCTGCCCTGGCTGCAGTGTCCAAAGGGCTTTCGGGGAGGGAGGGAAGGAGGGGAAAGGAGTACTGCAGGCCCCATCCACCCAGGATGTAGGGCCCTCCCTCAGCCCTCTCTGCGTGAGAGATGACTAAGAAGCTGGTGGGGGAGGTGCACTGGAAAGCTGGAAAGAAGCTGGGGTTAAGGGAGAAGAGGCAGGAGATGAGGGGGGGGAAGGGCTGAGGTATGAGATGTGGCCCAAGCAGAAAGCCAGACTGCAGAGCTGTTGCTAGGTGACCAGAGTGCTGTTGCCCAGCAACCAGAGAGTATTCCTTGCTACAAGGCAGTGCCTAGAGCATGAGAGGCTCCTCTTGATCACCCTGTTTCTCCCACACCACAGGGTCCTTGCCACGTTGCCTCCAGTGACAGGTCTTTAGCCCACTGTGGCTTCTCCTAACCAGTTCTCTTGCACAGAGACTTCCCTGTGGGCTACAGTCCGTGTCAGCACAGGTCAAGGTCCCACCCACAGCACCCTCGTCTCCACTATACTCAGTGCCAGTCCTGAAGGGATCAAGAAAACCAGACGCAGGTTGGAGAGACCCCGACAGCAGGCAGCAGTCTCGAGGCAAAGGGCACAGAGGGGGGAGTCGGGCAGCAGGACGTGCATCTCACAAATCACGCCCCCCCCCTGTAGTGCATAGTTGTAGGGTCTCTGACTTGCAGGCTCATTCAAGGGGTCCTGGACATGTTGTATCTCAGTGACCTTGGAGAGTTCTGAGAGTGTGGCACCCTTTACAGGTCGTACGTGTGTGAGAGAGGGCGGGGGTATGTATCGTGTAAGGGTCGATGTGTATGAATATGGAGGTCAGGGGATAGAGGACAAATCCAGGCGTTTGTCTCGGCCTTCTGCCTTGTCTTTCTTAGCTCTTCACCACTGCATAAACAACAGGCCAGGGGTCCTGCAGGTTTCCAGAATTCTCCTGTTTCCACCCCTTATCTTGTCATAGAAATACTGAAATTACAGGTGTGTCCTATTGTGCCCAGCTTTTACGTGGGTTCCATGAACGTGTGTGGCAAGCACTTTCCTACGGAGCCATCTCTCCTCGCCCTTCACATCTAACACACATGTGTGTGAGCAAGGACACACGTGAGAGGGACACCCGGGCTCTATGCCCAATTAGAACAAAAATAAATAAATTTCTTTACAGTCAGGCTAGAACATCAACAGAAACAAACAAACAATAATAACAAGCCGGGAGGGGTGGTGGATGCCTGCCAAGCCAGCACTTGAAATATAGAGGCAGGAGGATCAGGAGTTCAAAGTCATCCTTGGCTGCATAGAGAGTTTCTGGGCTTCATGAGATCCTCAAGAAACAAAAAATCTGTAAGGACAATGGTATCCCTAAGAGCCTGATGCCAAGGGCAGAGCATCAGACAGAAGGGTCTTAATTAGTTAAATGGAGGGTTGGGGTGGGGGGGACAAGGACGGACACTAGAGACCCACCCAGGTTGTCACTTAGTTCCAGGATCCATTCTGCAGACCAGGGCAGACTGGGACAACATAACCTCTGGGAGAGAGCCCTGTGATCTGGACTCAAGACTAGAATTGTTGGATGTGGGTTCTTTGCCCTCACCAGAGTTGGTGTTAACAATGAGACATTGATAGGGGCCTAGGGGGATGGCTCAATGGTTAAGAGCATTGCTCTGCCAGAGGACCCAAGTTCAGTTCCTAGAACCTGTAAGGTAGCTAACAACTGTCTGTAACACTAGTTCCAAGGAATCCAAAGCTCACATACAGACATACATGCAAGAAAAAGATCGTTGTAAATAAAAACAAATATAAAGAAACAAACAAACGAATGAAAAAAAAACCAATGTGACATTGCTGCACCTGGATGTCCTGGAGGAAGCCAGCTCCTCCAGGACCATACATAGGAAGTGTTGGCTGGAAGGTGCAGGGGGCCACCTGTTGGTAATCACAG